CTTCCTCTTTCACTCTCTCTCCTTTATCTTTCCTCTTCCCTTATCTTTGCAAACCCTAAAACTTGAAACTTAGCATCATTGAGTCTAGTTTGGGTCATAATACATCAAAGATGTGTCGAAAATTTGTAATTGTTTTCAGTACCTGCTATGCTTGTTGTGGCTATGGTGGAAAATCTTTCAACTTAATTTTTATTTTTTTGCTAGAATTTTGAATTTGTGTGTGTTGACAACCACACTTAAAGGATTAAGAGTGAGAAATATAAGAAAAAGGAGTCGCCACTCATCTAAATTATAAGGTGGGATAAGTCATTTAAAATAGGTCTATACAGAGATTGGGGTTCGGGGGTTCGGTTAGGAGTGAGAAAGGACATACACACACCTCACAATCTTTCGTTTAAAAACAGTTGCATACTTTAAAATTAGGGTTTTGATTCAACTTATTCATTATGTTTGTATTTTAAGTCTTAATAAGCAAGTTTGAAAGAAGTATAAACCAAATTGAAACATTTTTTAAATGTTTGGACTAAAATGGACAAAATCAAAGACATGCATGCATCATAAGCACAAATAAAAATTAAAGGGACTAATTTGATTAAATTTGAAAACATGAAGGATTGATTTAAAAAAATTTGAAACCTTGGGAATAAATTGCTTAATCATAAAAACTTTTGGGTGAAATTGAAATAAAATAAAAGATAACTTTGACTTTGACCAAAATTAAAGTTAATTGAAAATTAAAATTAATTAATCAAAATAATTAATCTAATTGAATAATTAACTTAACATTAATCAAAATTAATTAAAATTAATTAATCATATTTACTAATCACATAACTAAATAAATCTAATTATCTCAAATCAAACTCAATAAATATAATTAATTAATTTTAATTAAAATTAATTAATTTTATTAATCATAAATTAAACTAACTCATTTGATTAATTAATAATTATATATATATTTTTTACTTTTTAACTTTTTTTAGTTTGTTTTTTTTTTTTTATATTGGATTGGGTCGGGTTGATCTAATCCAGAAACACGACCTGCTACTCAAAATAAACCAAGACAGATCAAACATGGATAAAGGAAATTTGCAATTAAGGTTCATCACTCTTAAAAGAAAGAACACGTTCATCATAAACAAAATCACATTCACCAACAAAAAAAAAAAAAGGCACATTCATCAGATAAAATGAACTGAACAATTGTTTTTGGTTTTTCATTCATTTTCCAATGAAACACATACAATCTTAACATAAAAAAAGGCAGATCATAGAAATAGGAAGACAAAAGAAACAAACACGGTGGAGCTTTCTGGGTAACAAGTCGAAGTCCGATCTTGGGGATCTCACCTACGGGATCAAGCCCAGATCATTCCCCTCACTGCCTCCCCAAAAGGACTCCTCTGTTGTAGAAAATACCTAAGGCAAAGATGAATCCAGAAACGCAGCTTCCAAAAAAAGTCACTCCTTTAAGAGCTTAAAGATCTCCTCTCAAGCTACTGCTTCCTTCTAGCCGAAATCCCTCTCTTTTCTTTGCCGTCAACACCAAAACTCAAAACCAAAGAACCCCAC